GAAGATAACATCAAAGAGTGGACGGGACTGAAACCAGGCGATGCTGTGCGTAGTGCAGAGGACAGAGACGAATGGAGGAGGATAGTTCACATGTCATCTGGGGCTCCCCAAAGGTCCAATGACTAAGAGACATGATGATGATGATTTTGTCAATATTAAATTTGTTATATAAGACAATACGTTTTATGATCATTATAGATTTTGTGATACATCAATTTATATTTGCCATCAATACGTACACCGTCTATGCTGAGTGATGTATGCTTTTTATAAGCTGGTTGCATGGTCGCCGCAGAAAACTTTCTGGGGGGGGGGGCAAGAAAAATCGATTAACTTTCTATGGAGCCGAAACTAGAATTAGCGACTTGCATGGGCGCCCGCAGAAAAATTTCCAGGGGGGGGGGCAAAAAAAATTGATTAACTTTCCAGGGGGGGGGCAAAAAAAATTTAATAATGTTTTAATATAGTTTTAATTTACTGTAGCGTATTTGTATGGGGAACGAACGGACAGGACATCAGCTTAGTTACTTTCTCTTTATTTTCTCTTTACTTTAATACATTTTTTGTCTATTTTTGTCTAAAAAATTTTATCCAATAAATCCAGGGGGGGGGGGCAAGTCTGTGGGCGCCCATGGTTGGTTGTTAAAGGTGTTTCAAAATTTTATTGTTAGTGTTCTTGTTCTATTTGTTGATCTAAACCAATGGTTCCCAAATAATTTCCACGGAACCTCGTAGTCTTATAAAATCGAAGTTGGCTGCCAGGTCGGGTAATTATTAAGTCCGAGTGGATAACTTGTTCATTACAATAAAATATGGGTATTTAATGTCTACTTAAAGATTTAAGCCCAAAATACGTAGACACTCCAGTCAACCATACCTAGGCACTCAATTCCACCATACCTAGACACTCCAGTCCACCATACCTAGACACTCCTGTCCACCATGCCTAGACATTCAGCCCACCATACCTAGACACTCCAGTCCACCATACCTAGATATTTCAGTTCACCATACCTAGACACTCCAGTCCACCATACCTAGATATTCCAGTCCACTATACCTAGATATTTCAGTTTACCATACCTAGACACTCCAGTCCACCATACCTAGATATTCCAGTCCACCATACCTAGTAGACACTCCAGTGCACCATACCTAGACACTCCAGTCCACCATACCTAGTCAATTTTAATTTAATAAGACATAATGCAGGCCTAGGGGGCTACCCCAAAGTATTGATTCTAAATGCAGCTCCACGGGCCGAAAGATTTGAAACCACTGATCTGAACAAATACCTGAGAGATAAAGGGAGATAAATGTAGGAATTTATAATTTTCCTTGTTATCTGCCTTGGATTTTTTTTTCTTTCTACATTAACGAACAATTCTCTGTCTATGAGCGAAGTCTCAAATATTGAATTATTTACGGCGTCTTACGAACTAAAAGTTTAAGGACATCTGAACGTTTATGAAACAAGATTCCCCCCCCCATATAATTAAATAAATATAACTACACTCTATATATTACACTCTATCTGTGTAATGTGTACAGGGGAGGACTGGGTCCCCGGGGTAAAATTCCAGTGGACCTCCAGTTCCGGTCTTATAAGGGCCGCCTGGGTCACTTCTGAATTACAATAAAACTTAGATATTTGATCTCTACCTAAAATGTGTGTCCCGGACTACTTGGACACTCCATTCCTCTACTCTATCTGTATCTAATAGATGGATAAAACTAAAGAGAGAGAGAGAGAGGGAAGAGGGAGAAAGAAGAGAGAACGTCCCGTAATTGTATGTGCCCTGACGACAGAGGTATGTGTCCATATTGTATCATAAAACCGTATGCATACATTATTGCATATGTTGTATTATAATAAATTAATTTATGCCACCAGTGCATGGCCCATAGCGAAGTAGGGGGGTCTTTGGGGGCCAGCTTCACCGACCTCCCCGACCCCCAGTAATTCACGTCTCAAGATGGCGTTTGGGTCAACTGCAACGAAATGTTCAGGTTTTTTTTTAAAAAAAAGAAGAATTCAAGCATATTTTTAGATTTAATTTTTATATTAGTCATTAGGCTGAATTCACGTTCACAATCGTCACCTGATGCAAGAAATGTAGCACAAATATCCAACAGAATGGCAATGTCGCCGAATTGCTCCTCATTTATTACAAATCGAACCATCTCGTCGAAAGTCTGCATCAAACCACGTTTCATTTTTTCTGCAAGCTCAAACCATAAGTTATGATACTGATCCTTAACTTTCGGCAGAATGTCATTATAGTTTTCCAGGAATGCCGCATATCTAGAAATCAGTGCTGTGAGTTCATTTTGGCAAAAATTAAAATCTAAAGTGTCGATTAAAGCTGATATCTCAAAGATTCGCCATTGAATCAAATCACTTTCAGGGAAATGAAAGTCTAGGTGCAAACATAAACATTCAAAGAATTTAAGGATGGAACTATATTTATATCCTCGTCATTTGCAAGCAATTTAGCAACCTCTTCAGACCAGTGACATTTTCACCAAGTTACTGCGGACGGAGCTTAGCGATCCTTGCTTTTCCAAACTGGTATGCCTCGGAGGTGGCCTTAAGATTTTTCTTTGAAGCAGTTTCCATAATTCAACAAGTTCACCAACAACAATCAGTGTAGTTCGAAACTGTGGATCCTTTAGTTTCTTCAAGCAATAGTTATGAACTGGATCATTATAAAGGCCCACCTGCTCCACACAGTATTCAGTGAACACTTGTATGTTTCTCAGCAATGGTCGTAAAGCAAAGTCAAAGTGCCGCGACAGCCATCTGATTTCATTTCTGTCAAACGGTAACGGTGTCATATTCTGACAACTTAGCTATTTCGGTAAATTGGGCTTTCCGTACTTTCCGTACCAACTGAACAATGTGTACACTGTCCTAAGGAATGTTTCAATATCTGACATTCAACTTTAATGTTTGCAAGCATCATCGATGTTTAAATATTCACGATGAATAATGCAATGTTGTTATAGCACACGTGAAATACGTCGGCGAAGAATATTTTTAGTTTACCAGTAGCTCAAAGAATTGTCTGAGGCAGGACCGCAACGATTATTGTTTATTCTTATCTGCCGCCGGGCCAATAGCGGATGAGATGAATACCTGGTATCTAGATTCTAGAAACAATAAACGACAGATTTAAAGGCATCTTCATTGAATTACAAAACATTGAAGCGAAAGTATTTTAAAATTGAAGTGGCCTGCATTGGATTGGTACAAATGGTAATTGCTGAACACTTACTCAATTGTTTTTACAACTAGGAATGAAAATCGTGTAGAGTGCAGCGTATCTGTTTTAATTTATTTTATAAAAATTTGCTGCGCGGATACTCAAAACTGCTGCGCGGCGTCTGTGAGATAGCTGCGCGGCCGCGTAGCTTAAAGGGAACATTGGGCTGTCCCCAAAACAGGGGGGGGGGGGTGACCCGGATGACACCAAATGTAAATCGCAAATTTGACAGAGCTCTTTCGAGTGGGGCCCATAATAATACATAAGTGAAATACAAGGCTTAAGGGTCCTTGTCTTATCTTAGACCAAAATGTTAGAATACTTTTTGAATTTTATAGCAATTTATTTGAAGGAGATGCATGTCATAGATATCAAGTCTGCGAGGTATTTTTTTGTAAATATGTTCGACTGCAAACATTAACTGTCACGCACTAACCATATGTCTGAGTAAATGGCATATGGGACAAATTTACGATGGAAAAGGTGAAGAGGTAAGTTTTTCTAGGATTTTTACTCCTTTAAAAAAAGGGGGGGGGGGCAGCAGATGACTTTAGTTCTTACATTGTTTAAAAACTCAAAAGTGATGAACTAGAGATAATGATGGGTGGAGCTCAAGTTATTCAATAATGCTGCAAAGAGGCGCCCCAGTGACGGGCAGCACGCTTTGTCCAAGACCGCTACAGAAACACCCCTGGTGTTGGCATCATGCTGGAAACACAGGGCTGGTCACCATTGGAGGAACGACGACAATTATCCAGGCTCTCCACGATGTACAAGATAAATAATGGGCTGGTCCACTGCTCCAGCAATGGCACGCAGTTTCAGCTCAAAACAGCAAGAACACGGTACAGGAACTGCTCATTCCTGCCACGGACAATCAGGGACTGGGACAAGCTTCCAAAAGGAACAGTTGAGGCACATTTGTGTCTAATGCCTCAGGCCTCCCAGCCCTAAGTTCATGATACCCTCGCTGAGAAGCCCTTGCAACAAGTGAAATATCCTCTTCAACACCAAGCACTGAAACATTGCAAATCCCCTCTAAATACATTGGAAGCAGAATAATCAATACATTGATCGTGACCCATAATATATAGAAAAAGAAGAAATTGTCCGGAATTCCTATTTGAAGTTTTTAAATTCATATGCCGGATGTGACTTACAGTCCTCACGTTGAGCCTACAACTATTTCTCACGATCTGTTTGCCTGTAGTTTTATGTGAGAGGAGCGTTTCAAAACTGAAACTTATCAAGAACTATTTGCAATCTACCACAGAACAGTGCAGGTTTTTCTTATCGTGCGATATTTGTCAATAATTGGAAGCGATTAGCTGAAGAACTGTCGACTTTGTAAAACATTGAGTAGGCCTATATATTTCATTTGTTTGTTTTAAATTAATTAATTTAAACAACTTATGGTAATGACGACAAAGACTTTTAAGTTGACACTTAAAATTACAAATTCGAACAGAATATTGTTAGGTCAAATAAACTACTTTAAAAAGGTTAAGAAAATTTTTTTTAAAATATATCCTCCAAACTCTTTGATCAGGCAAGGTCAATGTCCTGAGAGTGTTAGAGTTGGGTTTCTATAGTGGTCCAAAAGAATTTGAAAAAGCTTTGAAATACAAAGCCGTGTCTTCAACTATGGGCTGAGCCAGAACATTCTTTTGAAAACAACCGTGAACTTTGAACTCATCTTGTAATACACGCCGATGTTGACACACGAGTTGATGGACTCGAGTTGATGGACTCGGCTATGAAACAATAGGAGAAACAGACCAAGAATATATTTCGGTATTTTCCGTCAATGTTGAACTCTGGCTCGTAAGCCATGCAGGAGAAGAGAGCGGCGTTGGGGAAATAGCAGGCGATGAAAAGCCAGGATATGACGTTAACGAGCTTTACGACTTTAATCTCCTTCCCGGTCACCTGATCCGATTTTTGGACGCATTTTGATGACGCCATTTTGCAATAAAAATTTAGCTTGGTGGCTAGAATCACGGTACATATAATCACTAACACATATGCGGAAATCGGTAGGAATATGTCACTTATGACAAATGTTATACTGTCGACTTCTTTCCGGTTAGCAGTGATGCCTATCCCTACAATCGTCTTATTTCTTGCCGGGCTGAATTTCCACACAAGGGTTGTCGTTATGAAACTTGCAGAGAGTGCGCCAGCAATGACGACAAAGATCACAACCATGACGTACAAAGCTCTCCTGGCGGTTAGAATAAACCTGACTTTCAGGGGCAGGGCGATACACAGACACCTCTCCAAGTTGATGAACGCCGTTATCCAAGCGACGACGCGAACCGTGTACATCCTGGGCCACCCCCCTACCAAATACGCCACCTCAAAAGAGTCGAAGGGAATATCCGCCGTCTGCATCCATGGGCTGATGCAGATGTTTAAGAACTGCAGAGCAACGAGGCTGCCAAGGTCGGCCACTGACAGGCCCAGGAGACTGATGTTGATAACCTCGGAAGAGCCCAGCTTCATGAAAACGGCGATGTTGATGGTGTTGGTGACGATGCCGCTAATATTTATGAAACTGCTGATGACGCAGTACTGGGCGATGATGATGACTCCAAACGTTGCGTCATCCAAGAGTGGGTTGAATTCGTCTTCACCTATAGCACCATTACATCCGACGCTAGCCTCATGCACGAATCGGTTGCTGAAATTAAATGTACACATTTGCGTATCGCTGTTCACCCTTCTATGTAGACACCATGTAAATGTCAGGATCATATAAAGCTATTCCACATCAAAACGCTCTTCAGTTGACCAAACTTCAGAATGTTTATAGCTAAATTGATCATTGCTGGTTATGGGAGCATATGTAAAGGATAATTATTGGCCTATCAGTTGGTCTTCTCCTTAACGGAAATGACCCAATTTAGCATAGGAATCGCAGCGAAATAAATCCCAGCAGCTTGTTAAACAATGTATTGCTTTGCTTATTGATTGACAGTTAAACAGTTTTGAAATTGGGTTAGGAACAACGATAAGTCATAGAAGCTTGTTTGAACCCTGTAAACCGGGTGTCTTCAAACAACGGCCTGCGGGTCAGATCCTGCCCTCCAAGAGTCCTTAAATATGGAATCGGATGTTTATCATCTCAATAGTCAGACCCAACTTTGAAATGCTATTAAGTTTATGTTGATCACAATTTTCCTTCACATTATCATGTTTTTCCCAGTTTTTTGCAGTTGTCTAATGCAAATAAAATCTGTGCAGTTTGCATCGGATTCCCATTTTTTCAAATTAAATTTCGACCCCCGACAGTGTCCGGCCCACTGTTTAAAAAAGTTTGAGAACCCTGCTCTAAACCATTTTAAACTGTGATCTAGACCCCGCAATTGCCCATACGGCTATAAGAAAAAAAAAGATTATATTTTGTAATTTAACATTTTTCGAAAATTCTAATCAGACGAAGAATTCACGTCTAAATCTTAAGATTTTTTTTAAACCAAGAATTTTACAGTAGGCCTACCGGTAGCAATAATAATAAATTTGATTTGACGTCATCAATTCGTGTTTATGATCGTGGACGACCTCCCCCCCCCCCCCCCCCCCCCCCCCCCTGCTGTCATGTCAGTTCGCTTGAACTTAATTTTGTAAAACGTGGGTGATTGTGGAATTTTTTTTAAAAATTCCTAGTCATGGTCAAACTAGTTTAGCATATAATGGGAACCATTGCTTAGTAAAAGACAATGACTAAAAGTGAACACTTACTTTCATTGCTGTCCCATTTGTGATACGGTTAATTTGGGATATTTTTATATTTTATTTGTGATTTCTGGAGCATTAACATTTTAAAAATTAATATATTATATTAAACATTTTTTTTAAAAGTTGTACGGAATTTTATGTGATATTATTCAGTGGTTCTTTCACTTTTTATTCGGGTAAAAATGTATATTTTCACACTATAAATATTTTGTAAATCTTCTTTCATCCCCCTGGAGCAAGGTATGAAAGGACCATTTCCAGGAGCACTGCGTGAGTGGGTTTCTGGGTTACCCCTTTTGCTTTGAAGCAGGTGTTCTGTTGTCCTCACGTAGCATGGAGTCTTCATGTTCCGTAGAACGCCAAGAGGTTCAGCACATTGTTCAGAGTCTCTTTTAGGAGAGTTTTTTTTCTTTTTTTATTATAGAAGATTTATATTGTTGAGTCTGCCCAAATGATTTGCCTTATTAGTACCCATGTCTGATCAATAAAAACATCCCTCACCCCTTTTTCAATTTAAAAAAAAAAAAAAGGAAAAAGATTGTCAATGTTCTCTATGGCAGACGTGACTTTTTAAAAGACTTTTCGTCAGTTGATATCAGAATGCTTAGCCGTTTTAGTTTATTCCATGATATTTCCCGTCTTCCAAGTAAAAAAAAATACTGGATCTTTTCTGAGGCTCAAAAATTGCTTGCCGTGTCTGCCATAAGATGTATGGATTTTTTTTTTTTTTACTTCATCTGCGAGAAACTGAAACATCGTTACCTTGATGGCAGACTGGAATTCGCCAACACGATTCTATTAAAGGCAACTACTCAGAAAGCAGGATTTATTATTTTTTGTACCATTATCTCTCACTAGATTATGGGCCTTACACTAAAAGCGTGGGGTTAAACTCAACAACGTGAGACGTGCTGATCATAAACTTTTGAGCTGATTAAGGAATGTATCGATTGAGAATCGCTATTATTACGAAATGAAAAGTCTTGTCCTTGTTGAAGATATTTTAGAAATGAGATTTATTTTGGTGACTTTGAAAATCTGTTTATTCATTCTAATTCATAGACAACTATGACGTGCAAGGCATAGCTCCCTATCATCTCCTTCCCCACTCCCCACCTGTACCTGACCCCTGCGCCGAAAGCGCTGCCTATTTCAGGATTTACAGAAGAAATAATATCTAAATTTCAGTACCGATACTCAAATTATAGAGTAATCTCCCTGCTTAATGTCGCTTTGAAATGAAGCGTCATTGCCATTGGATACAGGGAGATAAACCAGTGTTGTGCCGAAGGCTATTTATTTCGATGATGAATGCTATTGCCATCAACTTTGTGTACGCATCACAAAATGGGCATGAATTAGATCGTAGATTAAATCATCTTGCATTCTAACATTTATTATTTTATTTTCAGGATAGTGAATAGTTGGTTAAGTGGGTCCATTTGATTAGTTATTTCTGCTCTAGGGTCTTCCCATTGAGTACAAAGGCCTGATCAATGAACCCCCCCCCTATTTTCTCCAACAAAACAACAAACACTGTTTAAAAAAAAAAAAACTGTCATATACGTGTCAAACCAATATCAAGACTCTCTGATCATATTGGCAATAATGTCAAATCAATATCAAGACTCTCTGATCATATTGGCAATAATGTCAAACCAATATCAAGACTCTCTGATCATACTGGCAATAATGTCAAACCAATATCAAGACTCTCTGATCATACTGGCAATAATGTCAAACCAATATCAAGACTCTCTGATCATATTGGCAATAATGTCAAATCAATATCAAGACTCTCTGATCATATTGGCAATAATGTCAAACCAATATCAAGACTCTCTGATCATACTGGCAATAATGTCAAACCAATATCAAGACTCTCTGATCATACTGGCAATAATGTCAAACCAGTATCAAGACTCACTGATCATACTGGTAATAATGTCAAACAAATATCGTCTAAACGAAAAAAGGGCTTTTAATTTTAAATAGGGTAAATTCTTGGAAATGAAAACATTTTAAAATGTAATTTTCCCGTATAATGTAATTGATGACGTATTCAATGTCCTAACTTAAGTTGTAACTCAAACATAAAGACACCAATTTGAATAAAAAAATATTTAAAAATCACGACTTCTCTTGTCAGTTGTTTCAGCCGGTGGACCCCCTACCCAAGTGTTTCAGCCGGTGGACCCCCCTCCCCACCCACATAAATCCCTTCCCGAACCTGTTCGAGATCACCTCCTGGCTGGAAACCTGTGCTCTGGTAATGGTAATTAACCTGATTATCTCAAGGTGTTCATACATCGACTACCTTTATATTAAGCTGCGTTTTATAATCAAAATTAACCTAGTAAAACATACCTATATAATATATATAGATACAGGTATTAAGATTCCTAACTGTTCTTTATTTGAATTGATAAGATTCTTTTATTGATCCAAACAAATGGAAATGTTTTATGATTGCATTGTACATTTTCAGCACATAAATAAAACAATTTGAACACAAGACATTTATAATAAATTATTTCACTAGTAATAGTAAAAAAAAGAAAATGGCCATTCAGTGAGTTTTCTTAGCCATATCAGGGATTTATTAGTTCTCATTAAGATTTGTGACTTCAGGGGCAGTATGCTGGTAAATTGGGGAACAAAAGAGTTTTTATATCTTTCAACTCTCGCCCTGACGGAAAGAATTTGTCCCAAACAGGTTAATCCTAAGTGTCTGTGATGAAGAGGGTGGGATGTATCATCCAAAATGTGTTTAGTTTTGCAATAACATCTTTCTTCAAATAGTTGTTCAAGTGTAGGATGCTTAGTTTGTATTATGTTCCTAGCTTCCTCAATTAGTCGGTTTATGGGGTGTTTAATATCAGACGTTGAATTTCCACACCAGCAGGTAATACTGAAATTAAGTAGGCTTCCAATTGTTGCACTGTAGAATAAGTTAATGACTTGTTTGTTTACCCTGAAATTGTACAGTTTTTTTAGCCCCTTGTTACAAGTTATTAGAAACATTTTTTTATCAAATAAAATTTAGTGACAGATTCAAAACTAGAAGTTACAGAAGTGTTTGGTGCATAACATATTCTTGTGTGTTTTTTTTAATTGCTGAAATAGTTGGTTAAATAAATGTGAGGTGTAAAAGCGGGTTGGTCATTAGAATATTAATGTAGTTCAGGGGCGTTAAAAGAATGTGCGGTTGTGAGCCGGAGAANGGATATTACAAGATCAATACAGTTCATGGGCGGTGGCGAACGGGGGGGGGGGGGGGGGGGGGGGGGAGCACTAATTGGGATTCTTAAGTGTGTTCATTCTATGCAGGTTTGTCAAATTTTCGGCCCCATTGCACGTTATTAAATTTTATAAAGGATTTATATGAAAAAACATTTAATTATCTTTATATACATGTTTTTATTTGACAGTAAGTATTTTCTAAATAAAATTATAGTGTTGCTATTAACTTTAGAAAAATGAACAAATACTTCACTGTCAATTTCATCAAATGAAAGCATTTAAATACTAATAATCAGTTTCCTTTTTCTGGGTCTGATGGTATAAAGCAGGCCTGCACAACTCAAAATGTAAGGTGGGCCATAATACTTTATGAAAATAGGACAGGACTTGTGCGGGCCAAAAAGAAAATAGGACAGGGGGCAAAGCTATTAAGAAAATAATAAGAATCAATAATATTTCGTTACTTCGCGGGCCGCAAACTGGGTGCTGGTGGGGCGGGGTGGGGGGCATGCAATCCGCATGTTGTGCAGGCCTGGTATAAAGGTGAGTTTACTAAACATAAAGGAAGTTATTTTATAAATTAATGTTCAAATGTAGTTCCCGAAAAACTAAATAGTCTTGACATGATTATATCATTTAAAAAAGAAACTGGAAATGCTTGTATAATTTATTCTTTCAACAAGCATGCTGCATTACATACTAACATATGTTACATTATAAGGTAAGAACACGTGCTTTACCTATTAATTATCTACCTACTACTGATACAATCATTCTATAACATTGATTAACATTGTGTCCATCTCTTGCTTACTTATGACCTAATGGTCCATCGATTTCATTCTATCGTAACATATCTATATCAATACACAGCAATTTTTCGTGGGTCACTTCATGTCATATTGTGGCAAAGTTTTCAGTGCATCTATAAGTTCTTGGTATTGAAATTTTTCAGGTTGATAATTGAATCGGTGAACGAGTTCAAAATATTTTGAGTTTTGCCCATAAAAGATGCTCAGCTGTTGGACTAGGCTCAAAGCAAGTTCCTTTTTCTGTAATCAAGAAATAAAATTGTTTGAAATCAATCAATCTTAAATACTAGTAAAGAATGATTTACTCAAGAAGCTTCCTTCACAATTTATCTTTAAATGACTATGCTGCACAAAGGAGAACCAATAATTGTAAGTCAAAGTTATAGGAGGTTTTAATTATTTCATGCAACGTACAATCAGAGCTCGTTGCATCATTTAGTGTTGGGGCCTTTTTTTTTGTTGTGTGGACCGTTATATGAACTAAAAAGAGTTAATGCCCCCGAATAATGTTTAATTGTCAAATCTATGCTAGATCTTGGGGGTGGGGAGGTAGTTAAAAATTATTGAAAAAAAAATAGCACTTAAGTGGCACTTGAACTGGCATAGAGCATGTCTTGGAGATCCCTAATGGAATGTACAAAAAAATCAGATCTAACTTAGATCTGACCCACTAATTGTTTTCAACTGCTGCTTAAACAGTGATCAAAATGAAATGCAGTAAAGCCTGTGAACCCCTTTAACACCAGATTTGTTTCATCATTTAATTTTCTTTGCCCCATTCCCAAAATTTTATTTGTTTGAAACCATGGAATCCTGCATTATGAATTCATTGTGTGTCTCTAAAAACTCTTCCAGCCAAAGAGATCAGCTTAAATTATTGTCATTTCCCCTCATCAAAAATAGATATAGTAAAAACTAATGGAATTTATTGATTAACAAGAATACAGATCTGAAAATAAAAGCAGGAGCATTTCTGTAAAATATATTAACTAAGATATTATTTACTTTGACAGTTACTCTAAACGACCTGAGTGAGAATATCATTATCAATATCTTATATAACCTGTGATACAAAGCGGTTTGATATTAATGAACAAAAGTTTGGTTTTTTCTTCAAGATTTTATAACTGTGATTAACATAACCAAAAACCTTCCCCATTATAAATGTACTTACAATAACTTTACTGTCATACTGTCCAGTCATTAAAACTATGCCTGGGGAATCAAATACAATTTTATTAGTGACCTTTTTTTTCTCTAAGGGATTAAAGCTATTCTGGTAGTGAGATATCAAAATGGCTTCCATTTGTTACATAAAGTAATAATAATCAGAACATGTCAAAGGCACCCACTATTTTCTATCTGGAAAGGCATGTTAAATGTAACTTAAATTGGAAATATCCCTTTTGGTCACTCTATTTTTAAATGCTGACCTCAGCATTCTTATTTTTTTCAAGGTCATTTCAAGTTAATCCTAGCTGTTGGTGTCCTAAAAGGAAAATACAAAAACATGAGCATGAATACCCTCTAACCTTTTTCTTCCAAGAGCTCTGTGTAGTGATTCAAAGTTAAGCATGGTGGAGCATTCTCTCTCACAACCTGTCAAAATGTTTTTAAAAATGTCATATAAATCATTAATCAACATTGAGTTGGAAAGTTAAGTTTTAAATATCAACCTGACCAAGCAACTGACCATGTATCACACGTCAAATGCCCTAGTGTTTCAGCCTTTTCTGAATTTGAGACAACAGATTCTAATCATATTTTGCCAGATTCTAATTTGCCAAGTTGACTGATGCTACTAGCCAGCACCATATTATTTAGCTTATATTAATTTGTTTGCATTATTTGACACAGAAAAAATAATCATAGAATATTCAGGGCAGTCTTTATATTTTTGTATATTTTTGGTTAAATTAATCATGACAAAAAATTAATTTGTATAACTAACAATAATGATCCTTTACAACCCTCACAAATTCTTAAAAAACATCCAATTATAAATAAAAAAAGACTTTCTTTGAAGATGGGTTTAAGTAAGCTATCTAAAAAGTAGAAATATTTTAAAAGACTTTTAAGTTAGAAAATTTTAATCTGAAAATTAAGCACAAAATAATTTTTTTTACCAGCGAATGCTTACAAAATCTCGGGTAAAGTGACTTAGCTCTTAGCCAGTTATAAAACTAAAAAGTAGAATTTAACGACCCTTTGCCGCCCTTTGCCAAAATGCCCTTCCCCAACACCTTCCCCCTTCCAATCCCAAAATCCTACAGTTAGGACTGATGGTTACTGTAAGCGAAGGAGTTGGGTTTGTCAACTCCTTGCTCTGCTGGATTGATTAATTTGTCAAGTTCTTTCAAATGTTGAAATACGTCGTACTTATAATGAATAAACTCAAGTCCTTTATCACAATAAATGTAAATTTAATAGCTTATTATAAACACAGACTGTAAACTCCATACACACATTACATTCACGAGTGCCAGATGAATAAAACTTACGTCACAATGCAGTCTAGACAATACGTCACAATCACCATAAAAATATGTCCCTAAGTCAAGCGCGGGAAGAGCGTTCACTAACTTATAAAACTCTCAAACACACACCCCGCGTAATAAAACATAATATTCAGTCGCAACAATTATCACTGAACTCCAATGCTCGAGAGTGTTTTTTTTAAAAAATAACATTTTCTTATTTCCCCCTTGCTCAACTCCCCTTCCTTCGACCCCACATACGGGAGCTTAACACTGTGTCATCAAGTATGATGCAAGAGTTATACGGAATCAAACGATCTTAAGAGTCACGAAATGAACTAGAAGAGTCATGAACATCAACAAAAAACAAATTACCCTCCACAAAATGGAATTGCAAGTTGAAACAACAACAAAATCAGTACTAGATAGCATTCAAAGATGGACAACTCATCCCACTCACAATATATTGATTTTCTTTTCTGACTTGATCATAAAAATAATGTCCAAATACATGAATTCTATTAATAGCTAGTGGTGTCAAGTAAACACTATAAATAGTACCTGAAACATAGCTAGTGGTGTGAAGTAAACATCAGATCTATCAAACTGTGACAAGATGAACTCGAATCCATCAGGTCTTGGTACAGGAAAAAGAAACTGAAAATAAGAGGGAAAAAAAATCAAATACAAGTTTAAAAACAATTATTGCTATCATTTTTGCTTTCATTTTGAATAAGTTAGTAGCTTATTTCAGGAAGAATTCTATTAATAGCTGATGCCTCCAGAAAAATGGTACTGCTAGGTTCTATCTTAATATAATATAAGATAAGATTCTTTTATTTTACTGATACAAGTAAATAGAAATATTTTTTATTATTACATTTTACATATTCATTTTCAGCACATAAATATGTAAATATTTTTAACCAAGACAAAACATTACAATTATAACAATTTAAACACAAGACATCTAAAGTATTTCTCTATCGTAGAAATCAGCCATAAAAATGAACTAAAAAAAAAATTAACAACTAATTAAAATTTAATCTAAAACACACTTCACCATTAAATTTATAAAAATGACATCTTCTGTCAGAATACATTCATCACAACATCACTGTTACTTTCAGGTTTTATATGCATGATACAAAAAAAATGTGTGAAGTCACCCATACTGTTCCATTTTCTTACACCCCACCTTACCCCCGAGTGTGCCGTTCTTCATGGACAGCCCCATATTTATTTATTTATTTATTTAGGCATTTTTATATAGCGCTTACCTTAAAGCTCTAAGCGCTTTACAATTATTAAAAACATGTAAACTAACTAAAATAAAAATGAGACATTAGGATAGTAACTACTATACTATAGAAACAATTAAAATGACTATAAAACGAGGATACTTTGGCACGTTTTGGCCTATATTACAGGATTAACCTGAGACAGAAAATGAGGCAAGGCAAGGAGGGTGCATCACAGGTCCTAGGCGGACCTAAGCAGATGGGTTTTAAGGGACTTTTTAAAAGTGGACGAGGTTTCACAATGACGGATATGGAAGGGGAGCTGGTTCCAGAACGTGGGCCCATGGAAGTAGAAGGAGCGTTCACCGATGGTCTTAGTTTTGGTTCTTGGGATTGAGAGGGTTCTATTGTCAATGGAAGAGCGTAGTTGTCTTGTGGGGATGTAAGGAAGCAACAGTTCAGAGAGATAGACAGGAAAGTGAGGGTCAGTGAACGAGTTGAAGCATAGATTGGCAGACTTAATAACTAATTCATTATTTGCTTATCCGAAACAAGATTATACTGAGATCAGAGTGACCCGAAAACTGTTGTAGCTATTTATTCATAACATATCATCAGTTCAGACTTACAGTTTTAAGCTTTACTAGCTGCTTTAGGCTTAACACAAGTTAGAAGATACTTACAACAGGACATTCCTTAGATTTAGTTCTCAAGTTCTCATATTCTGCTGCCTACACAGGAAAAATACAAATTTAAGGGTGTCTAGTTAGTCAACCTTATGAAAATTTTTCAAATCTATCCAAACAAAAAAAATTGTTATATAGACTAAATAACTTTATATGACAAAAAAGTGGCATCTTTATGTGCTTGTGTGTGTGGAAGATGACACAATATTTTATTGTCACAGATCAAAAGGGCATTTATTTGTTATATACACACTGAAATGGAAAAGATGGGGAAAATTTAGTTATATTTTGAGACTTTGAGTACGTTTGCATTGCTACGGTAGATTAGATTCTTTTTTGATCCAAATAAATGGAAATGTTTTATTATTACATAGTATTTATTAATATTCAGCACATAAATAAATACATATTTCAACCAAAACAACATTTACAATTATAAAAAGTTACACACAAGACATCTAAAGTATTTCTCTAGTGTAGAAATCAGCCATCAATGAACTTGCTTAGTGGCAATAATGACTAAATAAGTGATCATTTAGATTTGGTAATCACTGGGAGAGAACGCTGGTAAATTCGTAAAAACTGGGGGATGATAGAATTTTTATATTTTTCGGTCTTAACTTTAAGAGAGAGAATCCGCCCTGATTAAGCTATCTTAGGTATCTGTGAAGGAGTTGAGGGGATGTATCATCAAAAATTTAAAAAATTAAAAAAAAGGCTATTTTCTTCAAATACTTCTTCAAAGAAAGGTTGTTTAGTTTGTGTGATATTACTAGCTTTCATGCTTGGTCTACTTGATCTGTGTTTGATGTCAGATAATGAATTCCCACACCAGCAAGTAATACTGAAGTTAAGTAGGCTTCCAATTGTCACACTGTAAAAATAAATTAATGACTTGTTTGCGTACGCCACAATTGTACAATTGTTTAAGATAGATGAGTCTTGACAAAGACATACATGTGGTAGCAAGAATTTTGACAATCATTTTTTTTCTTAACACAATGCTGTCATTAGAGGTTGACAAAATTTTGGTTTAGGTTTCAACAAAGAAAGTTGCCATATGATCATTTTCGGCGCAGTTTCGGTTTTGGTGGAAAAAGAAAAGTTGACTTTTTTGTTGAGTTTTGGTTTCTGCCCTAAGTAATTGAGCCTTATGGTTGTCTACCAGAAGTCACACTGTCCCTCTGTCTGTCTGTCGGCAATCTGATATTCATCATTGCTAGACGCCTTGCTGTCATGATGACTGATTCTAGCATGCTCAAAGTGCTCTGATGTCAATAGACTCTATTTAAAGAGATCATGGTATTATATAATGACCAATCCTCTGCAAACACTGTCCACACCTGCCTGATGACTTATTCATCCAATATTTCCAATAAATAAAACTACAATTAGGCTTAGGCGAGGGTAAATATTTTTGTGTAAAATAAAATTAAGGAAATCATAATATTTCTATTATTATTTTTGTTTTAATTTTTACCTAGTTATTTATCTTTCGGTTTCCATGTTGGCCGAAAGTCTCTTTAAGCTTTTTGTTTGGGCTTTCGGTTTTTGACCGAAAGTCATTTTTAGCTTTCAGTCTATTTTCAGTTTCATCCGAAACCAGAAAATCACATTCGGTCTGTCTCTAGCTGTCATAATTGCAAAAGTTATTTGCAAGAGTCCCAACTTTCCTAGAAATGCTGGTGACTCCAACCTGACCTTTTTCCTTCATAATAATAAAGGAATTTACTGCCACTTGTGTGTTTTACATAAAGCCGATTCAAAGAAAATTAAATTAAATTGATTATCCTTATTTTATTATGAACTTTGTCTTTTATTTAAATGTCTGTGTTAATAAACATTTTTGCCAAAACTTGGATGCTGTTTTTTCTTTTTTTTTAGTAGGTAAATTTTAAGAATGACAAGTTTTAACTTTTTTTTTATTAGGGTTGAGATCAAAGTAAGATTTTTTGGTTTCTTTTATAAAAACTAGAAATTCCTCAAAGTTAAAAGTTTTTTTGAATACAAATATTACTGATATTAAGTATGTTTAAACAAAATAATTATACTTCATTGTTTTCAAAAAATCTAAATGTATAAAACACTGGCCTTTCTACATGAAACAGTACATGACAGTTTGGCTTAATTTCATTCTTTTCAAATGTCTAAACATCTTATTACCTTGAGCACCGCATATACACAATCCTTTTCACTATGATACTGACTCCATATCTGAGAGAAACAAAATCAGATAATAACATCTAAACTTTACAAGCCATCAGTGATTGACAAAATAGAGAAATACATTTAAATTTGGTTGGTTATGCCAAGTCATGAACCATAATTTATTCATCTTACCCTAAAGAGGTTCAACATCAAAATAAAATTGAAATTAAAAATTAAATTTGATGCTGTTTAACAAGAGAAGAATAAGTTACAAGTTAAGAAATTCAAACTAATTTAGAACTAATTTATTGTAGTTTCAGCATAAATAATTATTAATCAAACTTACTTGTATAATTTCATCAGCAGTCTTGTCTTGTATTAATTCCAGTTTCATCACAGAATCCAAACCCTGATTATGAAATAATTGAGTAACAAAATAAGATATCGTTACATTTAAGATTTTAAAAATTTGTATTTCATAAGTAATAGCCTAATTTTTAAATACTTAAACATGTTTAAATTTTATTAAATTTTACTTCTGATCTTGTCATGCCAACTCCAGACTTTGCAGTTTCTGTAGGGGGAGCAACTTTAACAGCTTGCGCTGCATCCTGTCTGTCAACTGAACTACTGCTTGATTTCTTTAACTTGGGGTTCTTGAGTGCAGAAAGCTCTTTCATTTTAAATTCAAACTCATCTGGGCTGGAACTAGGATAGAGACATAGGATTTTTCAAATTAAAAAAGAGTTAAATGTAAGTTTATAATTTTTATTCAACTTAACACTGGTAGTGTGCTACCTTTGGCTAAAATGCAACATTAAAAAAGTGAAATATTAAATGCAAAACATGAATTTATTAAATGAAATACGAGGGTTCTCTATAATTAACTCTCCCCTAAATAAAAGTTATATAAATTAACATGGAAAGTAAAATATTTAGTCAGTGTTAAGCGAAATAGTAAATTTATTTTCATTACGATATACTTACTTTTGCATGTGCTGAATTTTTGCCTTGTATTTGTCAAAGTAAGGATTGACAGAAATATCCACTAGTTTCTCATTTGAATTTTCTTTATTTAAACTTTTATGACCAGAAGAAAAAAATGCAGTAGAGTGGCACATCATTTGGGATGGTAAACATCTTGAGCGATTCCAATTTGATATCTTGATAAGGGATTGGTGAAGATACCTAAGTTTTGCTAGTTGTATTCTTCCTGGCATAGTCAAAATTTTGCAGCTGAAAGAAGAGAAATTAATTTTTGAGAAAGGGTTTGCAGGTTAAAGCTTTTAGTATTTAAACATCAAGAACAAAGTTGTCTGCTACCACTACTGTAATATAAATGTGCTTATTGTATAAGGATTTTAATATCATTACTGGGATTATTATGTCCCCATATACCAACAGCTTAAAATGGTTCGAGAAAAAAATCAAAAGTAATTTTTATAATAGCTATGGAACACTGTATTTTATTTCAAAACAACAGAAAAAATTTCAACAAGGAGAAATGTAAATTTTAAAAATAAAAAATAAGATTAATATTTGATGTGTCAATGTAAAAAAAATTAATTATAATATCCATATCTTAATTAGACATAAGACAAATAAATGTGTATTAAAAAAAGTCCATTTAATTTTAGAAACTTATTATAGGCTCATCAATATTACTTTCTTATATTGTTTTTTCTTAACTTGTACTTGGACAGTATAACAATTAGCCTACCAACAACATTTTTTGCTAGCCTTTAGATCAGCAGATTTTTGTTTTTTCTTAACTTGTACTTGGACAGTATAACAATTAGCCTACCGACAACATTTTTTGCTAGCCTTTAGATCAGTAGATTTTTCTATAGCACTTTCTATATTTATATTCCTTTCAATATCATTTTCTATACACAAAATGGCCAAAGAATGCATTCTGTCTTGAGACATGAATGATCGTAAATATGTCACAGTAATATTAGTAGTATTTAGGGCTATTAGGGCCTATTATTAGGTACCTATTTGCCTATGGACCATGCCCATGGAGATGACTATGCTATATTTACTAGTAATACTAATGCTGCACTTGTACTGGTATTTAGTATGCAGTGCTACCGAACTGATGCTAATCAATGCTATAATACTATACTCAGTAATACTATAAGTAGTATTAGACATAAGTCATCAGAATATTAAAGGTGATCTACCACTTCAGCATCAGTTATGAAAAAAACGTGTTGTTCCGGTTCGATGTATTATTTAAACAGTTACTCTCTTATTGATGTTCATTTATAGTACCGTGGAGAGTACCACTGGGTTTTTGGTGGCATAGACTGTGAGTATCAGTAACAGGGTAGAGCAGGGATCACCAAACTATAGCCTGCGGGCCAGATCCAGCCTGCGGCGTCAGTTTATCAGACCTGCCGACGGTACTTGAATTTGCTTGATAAAACGCATGGAACACAAGACGTTGTGACATAATATACATATTATGTTAAGAATACTAGGAGGTCTTCACACGTGCAGAGACCTCCTGGGTGCTATGTGGTTTAAATTTACCATTTTCAATTATTGTATCTAGATTTTCTTGTTTATTTCAGACCTGCTTACCCTGGAACTTCTAAAATCGTAAAATATTGTCTCAAAAGGGGCCGTCCATAAAGTATGTCACGCTATTTATGACCATTTTTCCCCCCCCCCCCGTCACAAATCTCGGACCCCCCCCCCCCAAGTATGTCACACTTTCGAACAAATTTTTAAAAAAAATTAACACCTAATCAAAATTTAATCTAAAACACACTTCGATATTAAACTGTATTAAAATATAAAATTTCCACTTAAAAGAACTATCACATTATTAAAATGACTTAAATAGTAGAATAGTTAATTGTCAACAGTTGTCACAGTTATTCATTGAAGCAGTAACTCAATCTAGATTGAATTTGAAAACAAAATTTGCAAAAATTAGACTAGACAATTATATAATACACATTATTTATCTGCTTCTTTTTCATTATGCAATCTTTTTACACAGGATTAGACGTAGATTAGCGAAACTTGACCTCACCCAGTTATTGAATAATAAAAAGGACAGTGACATAATTATGCAGCGGACAACATAGAAATAATAATACTTCCGGCATGACGAAGGCAAGGCTATACATAAAACAAGGCTTCGCAACAGCATACTAGTGCCCTTAGCGAGAGGAATCGTGAACAACACATTCAGAAGATAGGCTTTTCATGCTATTTTGACATAAAACTAATTACATAGAAGTCCGATAATCCGGCACGTTCGGGACCGGCTCAGTGCCGGACTACCGAAAATTACGGTCTATCGGGCGGTGCCCCTTCTTTTTAGTGTAGGCTTTGCCGTAAAACAAATGTACTTTGTTTTTTTAACTACATACATACATAAATCGTAATTATAAGTACAATTAGGTTAATAATTAAACTACAAATACAGTATGCAAATACAAAAAAGTTTATTTTACATTTCATATAATGTATGTACACGTACTGTAAAACATATTTCACTTAGAATTAAAAAAGTCATGAATGTCGTTTTGTTTTCTTGACTTTTGGCATTTAGTATAAAATTTATTTCTAATAATATGGAAATCAATAATTTCTGAAGCACTGTAGCTAGTACTAGCCTGAGCAAAAGAGATAAACTTATTTAGTGATTCTGCAGCTTCTGCCCAGCTGATTTTTTCCTTTTCTTCCGTTTCGGCATCTGAGTCACTTTCTTCAAGATTTTGAGTAGGCTGAGGGTTTACTACACTGTTGATAATGTCCTCATCGGTTAGTTCTTGTTCAACAGGCTCATTCCCGTCGAGTAGAAGCCACTCCTCTACCTCATCTTCAGGCAGGTTTTTCAAGGGATTGTCAGCACTTGTAAGGACATCCAAAACTTTGGTCAGAGCTTTTTGATGGTTTTCTTCCTCATCAGTCTGTAGAGTTAGGTCAGATGCAGGGTTTGCGGCTGGCCAAAGTTTTCTCCAGCATTTTTGGAGTGTTGTATTTTTTACCTGGTTCCAAGACAGTGCAATAGCATAGACGGCATCTTTTACTGTAAACTTTTTTTTAAAATCAGTCACGTCACAGTCGACATTTAACAGGCCTTGAATAAAAGACCTTCTATAAAAGCATTACAAATTTTGAATAACCCCTTGGTCCATGGGTGGAATCAAAGATGTTACGTTAGGTGGGAGCAAAGTAGCAACAATATTTCCAGAAACTAACTCATCTACTGGCGGGTGGGCTTTGCAATTGTCCAAAAGAAGGATGACTTTAGTATCTTCTGGTAGACCAAGGCTTTTGAAGGATTTTTTGACCTGAGGCACAAAGTGGTGAAAAAACAAGTCTTTAAAGAGGGCACAAAAAAATGGCGAAGACGCTTCATGATTGATTAACTGTGCTGCACTGCACCTGTATTTGTTGTGACAGCTGAGACTAGCCGGCCGCTAATTTTTTCCGAACAATAGCAGGCGCTTCTGGATTATCCCAAACTACCCCGAAAACTTCCGAATAGCTCTCGAGCGTTTTTATTTGCTTTAAAGACACACTTTTGGAGAAAACCAAAATTTTTACAATTTTCCGGAGCGATGCCGGACTATCAGGCATTCCAGACTGTTGAATGCCGGACTAATGGACTTCTACTGTAGAATGTTTCACAAAATTTTTGAAAATTATTTTTAAAGTGATTAAATTTTAAAAAAAAATAAATTAGAAATGAAATTTAAAAAAATAAATGTATGACGTCACACATGGCCTGCCCCCCCCCCCATGTCACAAACTGTCACACTTTCTTACACCCCCTCCCCCCTCTGGAATGTGATGTACTTTATGGATGGCCCCAAATAGTACAATACAGTTTCTTAATAATAAATAAATAAACATACAGTATATATAATGAATTCAATAACTACTAGCATCGTAGTGCCCAGTTGCAAGTGGAATCGAGTTAATCTGCGTCAAAAAAGTTAACTTCTAAAGTAGATCACTGAAGTTTATATTGCAATCTCTGTCACTTTGTTTTGCAGACATGTATTTGCTATGGATATTAATTTGTATTGAGTGTACATAGAGATAAAATATCACAGTCTGTCACTGGTGAAAATAAAGTTACTGATGAAATTTAATGTGGCTTAATTTTGAAGTCAGATCAGCATAAAACAAGATGTATTTAAATAAGAATCAATTAACAAATGATAGCATAATTTAAAAAACATAGCAAGTTATTTTTTATTTTTTTTTTTTTTAGTAAAAGCTGGTTTAAAAAAAAAAAAAGAATCAATATCCATTAAGCCTATTCCCACTAATATGTTATAGTCTGATAACTACCACAATCAGAAAATGGGTGAAAGGAAGAGCAATAGATTTAACGATTTAATTAAGAAAAGCTTTAACAAAAATGTCTGAATTATTTTTTAGCCTTGTAAAAGGATGAATTACGATCGTATCAATTGATGATTGAAGAATGATTTGAAGATCGCGGTTTGCTGCGATAAAAACAAGGCAGTGTCTACACGTCAGGCGACCGGACAAATAGTGCGGGAGATATTCATCTGGCGGGCATGTCACACTTTATAAAAAACATTGTCACTTTTAACCAATCGTTCATTATATAAATACCAGCAATGGTTCTAGTATTTCTTTTGTAGAATTAATTTCTTTTTCATGTAAATGTCAAGACTATCTTGAATTTGTTGAAATGAAGTACCGTAAACTCTGATAGACAATTAGCGGTCACATGAAAAAGCTGACGGACAGATAACTCGAGCAACTTTGTTACGCTAGTCATGTGATTTGGTCAAATATATAGTGGCCGGCCGAATATCCCGAGAACTTATTCACTTATTCGTCCGGTTGCCAGACTTGTAGACACTCCGTAAAAACAAATGCAACACTTCCTGTCATACCCGACATTTATTTATTTTTTTTGTGAAAAATTATTAAGTTAGAAAAATCAGCATTTTAAGGGGTTTGTCGGAAGGTTGGAATGAGGTGTAAAAAATCTGTATAATTCTGACAAAATCGGAAGGGTTGGCAGGTCTGTAAATGGGCCTAGAGTGTATGGACAACACGACAGGACCTTCAATGCTCAGTGAGAGCCCGTCCCTACGCCTACGCCCCAATGTAAGCTAATGCCCCTGAATCTGACATAATAATTGTCCATCATTTTTACATTCCTTAAACCGTATGAATAATACTTTTGGTCTGATACTGGCAAAAAATATGGCCACATATGGACCAAAACAATCCCGGTGTTTGACTGTCTTTGAAGATACATGGTTTATTAATTATATTAAAATTTCACTTTAAAACCACTGAGAAATTTATGAAAAAACAATTGGAAAACAATAAATACATGTTATAGTAACCATTGAAGTATTTTAATGTAGTTCCAGATTACCCTTTAGAAATCAAATAAAAAGAAAAAAGTGCTGTATAATTCAGTATTAATTAACTGCCTGTATTTAATTAGTTAATAAAGAATAGGCTACACGTAGTGGAAATGCGTCAAGAAATAATATATATATAAAAACCTGAATTGCACTTTCACATAAATTTAAATGCTTATTAAAGTTATTATATTTATAATACTGATAAGTCTCCGGTAAATATTTTTATTATTAATATTATTTTTAATCTTTTACTTTGTTGTTAACTTTTTTAGTAATTGTGTTGGTCGACTTTGTTACCTCACCTGTAATTCTGTATACTGTATAGTATACACGGGTAAAAACAAATGTAATGTTCAGAGATTATCCTAATCTAATTGATTCAGGAGTGTTTGTTACTCAGCTTTAATTAATATATAAGTATTAATTGATATTAAAATATTTGGCATTAGCCCTGACCCTATTAATTACGTCCAGGCCTCCAATTCCACTCTCTATGAAAGAAAGTTACACTTTGAAAGTGAAAGTATCAAAAGTAAAATTAAAAAGTTATTCTATGGCACGGTCTTTGCCAACTAGCTACTGGTACTGTTTTAATTAACCTTATTTTAACAAGAGTAAAATCCCACATTATAATCTATTCTTATATTTAATAGTTTGCAATAATTTATTTATAGACCTTGTTTTCTTGTAGGTTATTTGAAACTGAATATATTTATAATTAATAGGGCATATTCTACGCCTAAAAAAATATAATTAGTTTTGTTTCGTTTGCCTCCTCGTACTTTTAAAGCATTCAAAGTAAACAGGAACAAATGGTGATTCATTGTCAGCATAAATATTACAAATTCGACTAAATATATTACAAACTCGACAAAGTGGATTACTTTCGAAGTTTCATTGAAAAATAACTCAAATCATATTCTTTAGATAAACAATCAACAAGATCATTATTGTTTCGAAATGTTTAACCAAGTACAGCCGAGTTCTACCAGTAAGTTAACTGATAATAATACTACTATTTAATTATTTAATTTAGTAATTTAATTTAGTAATAATTAAGTTACAGTTACAGTTTATAATTATATTTATAAGCATTTTAGGTTATTAATAACTAGCGAGAACCCAGCATGCGTTGCAATGCCACTCAAAGAAAGAAAGTGTTTGAGTTTGTGTTTTAATTAAGTTTTTTGAAGTAATTTAAAAAAATATAGTATAGACTATAGACTATAGACAATATGCTTTGTTGTTTGGTCTGGTGCTTACACGAATAAATTAGAAGGCTTCTCCACGCATAAACCTATGAGCAGGCTGCAGGCCACATCCAGCTGTCCATATGAGAAGTGTGGATTCCACGCACTTGTAGCGATTGATCCAGCCATGCATTAGCTCTGTTTGAAATTATATTTTTTTTATATTAGGCCCCCCCCCCCGGCTCCAAAAGGAATATTGTAAAATTATTTTACTAATTTAGTAAACCTTTGTGGACGTGCACACAACCACTTAACAAAGTTTTATCGTAATTTTTAAAATTTTTTTTTTTTTTTTTTAGCCCCCCCCCCCCCCCCGGCTCCAAAAGGAATATTGTAAAATTATTTTACTAATTTAGTAAACCTTTGTGGACGTGCACACAACCACTTAACAAAGTTTTATCGTAATTGGATATAGTATAGGAATGCATTCTGGAATCTCATAAAAGAAAAAAAAAAAATTTATTAATCGATTAAATTCCATCCACCTATGCAATAGCTCTGTTTGAAATTACATAATTATATAGCTCTTATAAGAAAAAACTAATTTAGGGCCCCTGGCTAAAAACGGAATAATTTAAAATTGTTGTAATAATTCAGAAACATTTGTGGGCGGGCGCACAACAACTCACCAAAGTTTTATCGCAATTGAATAAATGGTATAAGAGCGCATATGGAAATTATATTTAAATAGCTCATATAACAAAAAAATGAATTTAGGGCCAAAGGCCCAAACGGAATATTTTTAAAGTGTTTTAATGACTCAGTGGACAACAACTCACCAAAGTTTTATCGCAATTGCCTGAATGGTTTTGGAGCGCATACAGGACACACATACATAATGACATTAATTTGTATATATATAGATTTTAAAAGCAATCAATTATATTTATTAATTTTACTTTTTTGAAGGGGAAAATACATTATCAGGTCTGTCACGTGCTGTTATTCAATCAAGGAAACTTAGAGCTTTGGCTAAAATAAGCAATCGCGCTATGATGTCATTTGCTTATTTATTTCGATCAAATTAATTTTATTTTTATTTAGAAATATTAACAACGCACTAAAAATAACAGATGTTTGGCTTTTCCCGATAAATGTGATTACTATGTAACTCTTAGATCATAAGATAACTAATTATTTTAATTTATTATCTTACTTAGTGTTACTTCAATAAACACTAATACTTGCTGCAAATAGTAGGCCTGCAATGGCTTTTGACAAACTTTTTTAAATAGCCAAAGGGTACCTTACTTAACTTTATATTAAATTAAAATAGTAAATAATTTAAACTTAAAAATTAGGCTTAAATTAAAAAATATTAAAATATATTATTATATTCTTGTAATAAATACTTAAAATAGGCCTAACAGATTCTAATGTATCCATGAATGAATGATTATTTATGTATGCCTAGTTTAATTTAGTTTTAGCCTATCAAATTTATTAGGTCAGGGGGCAAGCCATATTAATGCCGTAATTCCAAATGACATGCAATTTTTGCAGATTTGTTTGAAACCCCCCTCCCCCCTCCCTCATCATCTTAAAGCGTAGAACCCCCCCCCCCCCCCCCCC